CCCGTCCGTGGAGATATGTTCTTAGTTTGTAGGCTTTTCAATAGCCTTGCCCTGTTGTTCTCCACTTCTACAGCGCCAGGCACAACAGGACACTTGTGCATGAGTGGGATGACTTAGCAAGACTGCAACAGAAGTTATTCATCCTGAAGAGGCACAGGGCTTGGAGTTGTGGTGGTGTGGCTGCTTGCCAGATCCAGGTGGGATTTTCTATCCAAATGACTTCTCAACAGATAACACCGTTCTGCAGAATCACAACATGTGCGACAATTTTGATTTTTTGCGATCTCTTTCCCAGTTTCCCATTATGAGGACCAGAATTAAGTATTTCATTTTAGGTGTCTTCTTTTTACGGACTTCAGTCTTCAACTGCATATGCCTCTGGGATTGAAGGGCCTCATGGGAATTGCAATGTGAGGGTCTTATGTTCCTCTTCTCTGTTCTGGGCTGGGCTCTGAGACGGGACAACCCGCTTTGACTTACTCATGACTGAGTTGCATTGTGGGAAATGTAGTCTGGCCCTTGAGCTTGTTCTATAGGGGAAAATGGGGTTATCAGTCCTCTGAACTACAACCCCATGGGAGCGCATTTTGTAGGTTTTCATTGAATTAACTTGAAACGCAATTTCTATATCGGTAGCAGAAACAGAGAAGAGGGAACTCTGTGAATATGGACTTTTACAAATGTTGGTACATCTATCATCTTTTTAGGTGTAGGCTATTTCCATGTCAATAGGCAGCATGTAACTTTTTGTGCCATGAAAATAAATATAGAGATTTCAATTTTTTTCTTGATTTGGGGTGCGAAGCGGTGAGCAAACATTGGCATTTGGTGCAGGACAGCAGGTCCAGTTTTTGCTCAGCTGGACTACTTTGCAAACGCTTTAAAAGTAACGGCTAAATCCTGGGCTGTTTGAAAGGCTGCCTGAAAACAAACTGGGAAATCCCATCTGTGCCTTCCAGCCTTTGATATCTGTCTTAACCAGATGCTTTGGTAATTTCATTTGTTCCTTTAGTATCATAAGGCAATGTCATGGTGAAAGGGATTTTCACAGCTATTCCTTTTCAGAGGTTTGTGTATTATCTCTCCAGTTCTCCCTGGGTTTTCAGCGCCCAGTCTATTGTAGGTGTTACATATATTCAACCTGAAGTAGCTTGTTTCATGGGCAAAAGCGGGTAGGACCTACCTCCCTGTGGCTGTAGTACAGGCCCATCCCTTGGGCAGGGGGCTGGACCCACTGATCTTGCGAGGTCCCTCCCAGCCCTAATGTCTATAAAATCACTGCAGCATAGGGGTGGGGGTGTGATTTGTATGGGTGACATGTCGCAGGTGACTCTTTTATATTACCAGTGCCTCAAGCCATTCTCCTATTTCCAGGGCTCTATATGACGCCTAACTGCTAAAGGACGCTTACATTTCTGCTTTGCTTTTTCTCATTTGTAACCTGCCTTTCAGTCGCCTGCAATGATAGGGCCATATTCTGCTCCTGGTTTCTGGAAATCTACAATAGCTCCACTAATGGTGACCACTTTAGTGGGGATTTACACCTGGGTGGCAGAGATGGACCTGGCCCGTTCCCGCGTAGCTCGGATTAGCTTTGAATTTGCAAGCTTTACTAGTGATGAATTATGTACAGGAGCCAGCGAGAGCCATGTCAGGACTGGAGCCCTGCATAAGCACGCAGCCTCCAGTTGAAATTACGGAGGGATGTAAATAGGCAGAATGTAATTATCCTGCTGGACTTTGGCCAGGACACTGAGGCTTAATTATTCTAATACATTTCGGAGCGGATCCAGCGCCTGCTGAAGTCAAAGGAACTTCTAAAACTGGAGGCGGGAGCGGGGAGGGCATGTCACTGTTAGAAAAATAGCACTATCGAGCATCCGGGGAAGATCAGGCTTTCTGGCAGTACAACCCTCTGCTGCTGTGGGGATCGATTCAGGATCTCAAGGGAGAGGACCACTTCTTGGATAGCTAGAGGCGCATCCCATCAACGGGCCGACTATGCAGCCTGATTTGAGGATCTTCCAAGAGCATCATCTGGGATAGCAGTATGCATCTTAAAAGATAAGCCGCTTTCACCAGACACCTGAGACCAAGTTGGGATCCAACTCTGCTGCATTTATTAGCCGACGTGTGGCGATGAGTTGTGATCCATTAATCAACCCACTGCCCGGGCACCGTTTCTTGCCTTTGGCCTTGGCACGGTTTCATTTCCGGCAGGAGCGGTGCATTTCTTCTTTCTGTGCTGTAAGCAGAGATTGACACAGACCTGCCCAGGCTGGCTCAAGTCTGCTTGGCGACTGCTTCTTTGCGTACCCTGCCCAGTCTGCAAATCTTTATTTTCCCCTTCATTTCTGTCCTTGGGGAAATGAAGGGGCAAGAGAAAGAGAAAAACCATCACAGTGGTTAAAGAGGAATACTTGGGACATCTATCCCTGGTCCAGTAACCTGGACCCTGGCCTCAGGAGTATGTGTGCAGCGTCCCTGGGGGTTTAGCCATCTCTCTCCCCTCAGTACGCTGTCAGTAATCCAGGGATGCAGCCTGGATGTTGGTAGGCACTTGCATCTTTCCTTCAGCCTTAAGTTCATCAACTTGGGTGGCCTTTAAACAGCTTGAAACTAAATTAAGGGTATAGCCCTGTAAATGCCATTGAGCATCGTGCTCTCAATTATGACCATTTTTTTTTTTTTTTATAGATTTAAAGCTTTATTTTTTTTTCCACTTAAAAGGGTCCTTTTTAAGGAAAATGAAAACTTTCAAATGATCTTTTTGTGAACTTTCTCCCAGAACTTTATCCAAATGATTACATTTGTTCCTTTACAGAAAACATTATTATTAATTTAATACATTATTTCATTTTCAGAAAGCAAGGAGGTTTTGGTACCATCTTTTATTGGACCAACTGCATAGATGGGAGCGATGTTACAGAATCATAGAAAATGAGGGTGTGAAGGTACCTCAGGAGCCAAGGTCATCTAGTCCAACCCCCTGCTCAGAGCAGGACCATCCCCAACTAGATCATCCCAGCCAAGGCTTTGTGTAGCTGGGCCTTAAACACCTCCAAGAATGGAGACTGCACCACCTCCCTGGGTGACCTGCTCCAGTGCTTCACCACCCTCCTAGGGAGAGAGTTTTTCCTAATATCCAGCCTCAACTTCCTTTGCTGCAGCCTGAGCCCATTGCTCCTTGTCCTGTCATCTGCCCCCACCGAGAACCGTCCAGCTCCATCCCATTTGCAGCCCCCCTGCAGGGAGGTGAAGGCTGCTGTTCAATCCCCTTCGGTCTTCTGTTCTGCAGACTCAATCAACCCAGGTCCCTCAGCCTCCCCTCATACATCATGTGCCTCAGCCCCAACTATTTTCTTTGCCCTTGGCTGGACTCTGTCCAATGTTAGACAACTTCTGGGCACAAAGTGTTTGTTCAATAGAAGAGATCACCGAAAGAACCTTTTTTTGTTGGCCAGGAAATAAAATGTTTCTTTACAAAAAATGCCCAAAACTGAACATAAAATATAATCAGCCTGGTTTTGAACCCTGACAAATGGGGGAAAAAAAGTTGACATTTTAATATTATTTAATTTAATATTATTTAATGTTAATATTGTCTACAATTAAGTCAAAATAATGATGTGGAGCTGTTGCTGTGAGCAGGCCCTTTAAGTAGAGGTACCTGAATCAGAGAAATGCCATGTTCCAGAGTTGGGTCCAGCTCCACGTAGGGAGAGGCAGTTGTGATATTTTGTAGGCATCTGAATCCTACTGAAATTGCACTTTGGATTTGGTCTGAAGTATTTGCAGGAGCAATTGATCTTGCAGGGGACCGAGGAGGTGGGAGAAAGTAGAGCTAGCTGGTATGTGAATAACATCACCTGGTGGGATCACACCTGCACCAGGCATAGACCAGCATCATAACTGCAGGAGCAATTAGGGATGGGAACTCCACTACCAGCCTCAACTATACCTTTTGACTTCCTTTCAGGGTACTTGGTGTGAACACCTGCTTCAGTTTTAGCATGCAAGTCCGTAGATTCATAGATGTTCGGGTCAGAAGGGCTCTCAACAGACCATCTAGTATGACTTCCTGCCTAGGCAGGCAAGAGCGCTGGGGTCAGATGACCCCAGGGTGGGGTCATCAGACCCCAGTGGTCCCATTGACCTTGGGGTCTCTCTGATCATGATGAGATGGGACTAAATCAATGCTTGAATTTTGGCAGACTTAAATTCTGACTGAACATTGTGGCAACCTCAGGTAGACCTGGAAATGCCACAGCGTTCTGGCTCTCCCACTTTCCAAGGGTTGGAGGGGGGACAAACTGTTGCATCTAGAGAGAGTCTTGTAGGAAACAAGAGAGCTCAGTATAACAATACCCAAATGCAGGATTGGGGCCGTGGTGTGCAGCTCCATCAAACGAGAGGAGGGTCCGTGTCAAGCTGCTCTGGTCGTCAAGAGGTGAGAAGTCAAGTGTGGCTTCTGGGTAGGACATTTAGTTAACCAGGTCCATCTGGTTTCAACCCTGCCCTTGAATAACTAACTACGGATGGAGGGAAGTCAGGAAACAATGCTCAATTAATTCCTCTTGGCATGTTTTATTTCAAATGCAAAACATCCTGAGGATTAAAATAAACGTTACTGTTTACATGGATGCATTAAGCTAATGATTTTCCTTTTTACTAACTTGATCCTATAATACCTCAACTTTAATGGATAAATGCTAAGCTCTCCTTTGGGTGATTTCAGATGCAACATACATTGTTACAAAATCTAAAGAAAAATTCTATTCTCTTTCTTCTTGTTTTTTCTCCCCTCCCAGGTGATTCTCATTCTGACGAAGCTCTATGACTTCAACTTGGGGAGTGTTACCGAAAGCTCACTTTGGAGGTAAGCGGATTATAGCAATCTTAGCAAATGGTCTGGAGTGGTTTGCTGTGTTTCATGTAAAATAGTATGCCAAGTGGCTGAGAGAAGGAGAACTTCAGTGAGTCTCCTGGGGGTGAAAGAAGTTGAAGCTGACAAATATGCTGCTTTGGATTGAGGATACTTGGTAAAACATACAGTTCTGAATGCTCCGTTTGCAAGGACAATGGGGTCCTGGTTGGGGTTTTTCCCTGGGATATAAGAAATCTGGGTTCTTTTCTGGTCTCTGCCCCATACTCACTGATGAGTCATTTATCTTCCCTGAGATGCTAGTGCTTACCTGTGAAATGGATTATAAAAGCCTCTGTTTTAATTGGAAACTCTTGTGCAACACCGAGCCCAGATCTGGCCTGATCTTAGCTGGATACGCTTGATATGGCTACTAAGCAGTTAGCAATGGTGCCCAGAAGCATTTACATACAGGAGTCTTACCATGTCAGCCAAGTTGACCAATGGTAGCAGGGAGGTATCTGGGGATGACATAGCAAACCAACCAGTATAAATGTGGTAACTGGTATTAATTAAGTACGAGATCCCACCTACTTACAGCTAATATATCCCATAACTTCCAGTCCTGCTCTGAAGGGCTCACATAATGGTCAGATTCTTGGTCCTCCTGGTTTCTATTGTCTTCATTAGGCCTATGAATTGGCTTCTTCTGTTTAGAGAACTTTTGCTAGCTAAGCATGGTTATGGTGCGGACAACTGTCATATCTACTTACATCCCATTGCATCCTTCCCCCCAGAATCAGCCATCTAAAATGGATGTGCTTGTTTTAAGCAGGGAAGTTGATTCCCCGCCACCCCTTTCTTTCCTGGAATAGAAGCATGGAGACACTGCTGCAAGATGGCTGCTGTACTGCTCCTCAGGGAGGGGAGGGGCAGAGTTCACCCTTCAGGGTCAGAAAGTGTTAACCCTTTCACACTCGCGTCTACTGCAGTTGGGGTCCCTTGTAGTAGGCATTCAGTTGTGGCTGGAAAAAATCTTTTTTTCTGCTTTCCCAAAACAGGGGATGTGTCTTATTTGGGGGCATGTGATATATATGAGAAAATACGGTACATAACCATCCCAACCGTCTTCCATCTACTCACCCTTTTAAGCCTACGTGTAAGACAGGAGGTTACTATGACCTTTTTACAAATGGCTGGAGCTAAGCAGAGAACCGAGTTGAGAATTTGGGGTTTCCAGGGTTCCAGCCCTGTGTTCAGATTGTTTCTACCATGCGTCTATTCTACTGACCTGAAGGATCACAAGTCGGCGTACGGGGAGTCTCGGGCTTTTGATTGATCTCTGTTGCTTTCTGACCCTGCCAAACCTGCACGTTGAATTCTCAGCAGACTCAAACTGCAGAGACGGCTTCCCTTCTGCTAGTCATGTCTAGGTCAGTATGCAAGACGGTGGATTGTGGCTCCTGGAACTGCACCATATGGTACTTAAAAGCGCGTGCGTGTAGAAAATGCATACAGATGCACAGTCTGTAAAGGTGGGGGCCTGGATCCTTTGCTGATGTTGTGAATGCAATTACACCAATTTGCTGTTTACGCCCCCCGGGGATCATGCCTCTTTAAATCCCACCTGTCCTGAAGAAAGGAATCGTCTTTAACAAAGCCAAGAGTTCCTCATTGATATACACCCAGCGGGACAAGAACATTTTAAAGGGCCGCGGCCCTACATTGATGTGTCATTTGCTTTACCTTTTGTCTTGGGTTTATTGTTCAGCCTGCAGAGCGGATAATTGTTGTAGCTGTCAATTAGCCCATGATAGCGTCATAGTTCTGGATTTGATGCCCCCTTGCAGACACTCTTCGCTTTCTGCCCAGCTCTTTTGACATCTTTATTCTTCTAGTGTTCTCAGTTAATTTAAAAGTCTCTTTTGGAGCAGTGTTTCTGGAGCTTTACTGAACGGGGAAATAACCACACAGCAGAGTCTGTTCATACACTAGGGGTTAATTGTTCATAACAGCTCTTGAAAGTTCTCAATTTGCATGGTAACTCCGAGGCCTAATTGCACCGCACCATGGTAATCTGCAAAGGTATAAATAACCATACGACTAATAAGCGGGAACAGGGCCGTTTCCACTTACCTTGTATTTTCCAAGGTATTTAAGCCTTGAAAACTTTTGCCTTGTACCTAACAAGAACAAATGACACGGTGATTATACTTTAAACATAATTACCATGCAGTCTGCTCTGCATAAATAATGGAACAAGCTGGCAAATCCGGCCCTAATGCTGAGAAATCACAGAAGCATTTGAGTCCTGTGAAGAGGTGATAGTGGTATTCTTCGTGGAATTTTTTAGAGAGGGGAAGATAGGGGATTACCTACCAATTTAGGCTGAATTGTTCCCACATGGGTATTAGCTCTTGTAAAGGATACATGCTAAAAGCATAGCCAGCTTTGTGAAATCCCTACCATTTTAGTCCTCTCTTTTCACAGCAGAGAGGGGGAGTCTGGTTCCTTGCCGGGTGTGCAACATTGCAAAAAGTTGTGGGTTCTGACTGAATGAATTAAAATATTTCATTAATAATGGACAGTGAAGTTGGTAGGAGAGGTGGAGAATGACTAACCTCGGTGAAGTCTAATTTGTCTCAGGACATTATATCATACTTTGCTGTCACAACAATGTCATCGTTTCATGTCCAAGGATTGCCAGATTTTTCTGTGCTCTGAATAGTATTGCTTACCTAAGCAATAGGAGGAGTTTGTTATATCTGCTCAGAAAATGTGGCTGTTTCCAGGCAAGAAGAATGGCTTTTGTGGAAGATGGCAATAAATTGTGAACTGAAGCTTCTCGGGATGCCGGGACAGGACACTGCGTGCATCAGAAACTCTCGCTGAATTTCCTCTTGGTCCTTGGGTATAACATGAGAGCTGCTGCTTTTAATGGAAAGCTGAAGTGCAATGTAAGAGAGATTCTCATCCCTACATCTAAATACCAAGACAAGTAGATCAATAAGGAAGCAGCCTGAGTGTAATTAAAAATAGAAAAAAGAATTACTCGCATTGGAAATTGCCTCGTCTATCAGCCTGATGCAAACTGAGGCAGAGGAAATGCTACTCGGCTGTTGAAGGCAGAACATGGACATCGCCCTAAGAGACCTGTCTCGGGGTTCGTGCGTGAAACCCTCTGAAAATGTCCACCACCATTTACTTTAGAGGAAGGTGCAAGAAAAACCCACTCATTGCCAAACTCTCGAGTCAGCGGAAGTGGAAACTTTCATCGCTGAGGTAAATATTTAGTAGAGTGGCTAAATTTTTTCCATCGTAATTATTTTATCAATGGCCAACTGCTTTTTTATGACACACCACCATTTTTTGCTAAGCATCGGTCTGTTTTCCCTGGGGATGTTCAGTTTTCATTAAGGAAAACAAGGGAACAGGAACATTTACCCCTCAAACCTGAAAGATTTGGATTCTGAAATGCTCTGGACTTCACACTCCCGTTTTCCCGTGCACATTGGTTTCCCTAGACAGGATTCATATCCACGATGGCCATGCACCAGCCGGGGTGCTTGTGGAAAAGGGAAGATCTAGTGCTGCATGTGAAATGGGGGATCCACTTGATCATTTCCAGAAGACAATGTAGTAGCATTTCAGAGTTAAAATACTTTTGTGTTCTGTCTTTCAATGACACCTGATACTTTTGATGTTGAAGGGAGGAACAATCCAATCAACGCTTGGCTAATCTCTTGACATGTGAGGGTCTATATCACTTCTAGTTTCTTCCCCCCACCCTATCTAAAGCAAATAGGGCAGCTATAATCATCTCAAGATACGGGTCAATTTTTTAATTTGAGTTTTAGTCTCTGATCTTTTTTTGTGGCAGCTCCAGCTTAATTTTGCATGATAAAAATAAATGTGGACTATAAAGAAATCTGCTCATCAGTTAAGCCACCTTATGTTGGTTGCCTTCAGTTTTAGCTAATGGGCTTCTGCTCTTGTGTTTGAGTAAAGAGAGGCATCTGATGAAACTACTTTGGACTGTGTTTTTATGGTGTATGCTGCCGCAGTGTCCATCTATCCAATAAATGTCCCCGGTCTTTCCTTTAATATGGAAGGTCCTCTTCTTCTGACTATTTTTCACTGCTAGTTTCATTGCTCTTTTCTGGTTCTATCCTATTATTTTTCTGTATCGTTTTTGATGAGGGTGACGAGCAGTGAATGCGGCATTCCAGATAAAGTTGTACAACTGCCACCGTTATCATTTCCGTGTTTGCTCTTTCGTTCTTTATGTAGCCTGCCATTTTTATTTACTTTTGTCTACAACTGTGGACTCAGCAGTTATTTCTATTGAGCTAGCTAGGATGATAGCCAGGTCTCATTTCAGAGCTGTCACTTGGTTTGGAAGCTAGGAATTATTATAATTATTTGTATTGTGCTAGGCAAAACGACAGTCCCCACCTCAAGGGAACTTTCAATCCCAGTGTAAGGCAGGAGACAACAGGGCAACGCATCCAAGAGACAGGAGAGCACAACCTAATGGGGAGATATTTATGATCCGCGTGATAAGCAGCAACTGCAACAAACCAAGTAATTAAGCAATAGGGAGTAGTTCAAATTAGTCCTTTCCAAGTACAGGATCTTGCATGTGTCAACAGTGAATTTCATCTATCATCATAGTGCCTCGCACTTAGCTTTCTTGAGTCCCCGTGGAGTTCCTCGTATCCTTCCTTTGGAGTTTTTGACTATCTTGCCTCCAGTTACCCATTTTGACCCGACTGGTGAACCCACATTTGGGGTTTGCAGCATGTCTGTCATTTGATGGTGAAAACACTGATACGGTTCAAGTCTTTTTTTTGACAGAATCATGTTTATTTGTGAGAAATGTGCCCACCATCCTGTTTCCCCTGATCAGAGCTGATATTCCCAAATTTGCTACCTCTGCAAACTCTGTGCCCAAGGAGCTCTGTTTTCCTGCTTGCTCTCAGGGTTACATTCCCTTTACTTCTCTAAGCTTTCTG